AATGCAACTTCCTCCCTCTCCGAGAACAGAGTTTGACAGTAACATCTCATAACAGATGTTTCCACAGCCTCTAAATGTTTTTATTTGGTGGCACAAAAGACTCCGTTATTCATGAAACGGTCTGTTAAAAAAATTAGTTCCTCCATGTGGGGATTGTGGGAATATGTGTTATGTAAATTGATTTCACTTTTGGCAGGAGACTGGCTCTGAACTCATCCAGTCTCCAACGCTGGACTCTGACAAGTTCCAGTTTCCGGGCCACAGCGGTCACGGAGAACGTGGTAATACAGGAGCCCAGCATCTTCCCCAGAGTATGTAAAGTTGACTCATCCGAGAATCTCACATTCACTTATAAGAGGGTGCAGGCTAAGTAAATTTTGTGGAAATACGGTCTTGTAAAGAACAGTGGGAAAAATGTGGGCAGTCGTGTCAGCTGGTCATTTGCATTATTATAATACAAGTCATTTTCTATAGCTTTGCTTGGAGATCTTAGACACCTATTTAAAGAGAAAATCATAATTCTCAGATAAACACGAGCACCCTAAGACATGGGTTCAGGTACCTCACAAGAGACTAGGAGTGACCAGTGTGGAAAGAAAGGACTGCTCGTTGTCACTTCTCGTCTCGTTTTACCGCTGCCCTCACCCTCACTTTCTACCTCATGCAACAGGACAAGGGTCAGCAAACTGTGGCCCCTGGGCCGTGTCAGACCTGCTGCCTGTTTTTGTAAATAAGGTTTGATTGGAGCCCAGCTTCTCTCATTCTTTATATGTTGTCCTTTGCTGCTTTTGCCCTTGTGACACCTCCATCACCAGAGATCATTTACCCAACAAAACCTAAAATGTTTGCAGAATGAGTTTACTAACCTCTGCAATAGGAAGTCACTTGTGTACCTTGATCCAGCTTTGGTAAGAAGACATTTGATAGGGTTGTAGACTTTGAAGGCATTTGGGGCTATAAGAAATGTAAAGTAATTGATTTTAGGTAATTTAACACATCACAGGGTAATGTTTAAAATGTGCTAATGCATATACACAAATAAACATGTAAACTAAAATCTTCAAGACTTAAAAAACTATGGAATGAAAAAATCTGTTTTTCTGATGGACAACATGTTCAGACTTTAAAAGTTGACATTTGTTTGGCTGTTGCTTCTTTTTTCCTTTCATATGTGTGTTGTAATTGTTCTCAGTACAGTTTCCTGTAAGTGCTTCCATGTGTGCGTAATTCTTATCCTTCTTTCCAAGGAGTTAACAAGCATAGGTAAGACCAAGGAACTTCTTGACACCATAGCTGTACCAGATATGATTATTCATTTTGTGTGTATGCCAAAGTACACTTGAGACCCCTAGTCAATACAAGATCATAGGCACCACAGGAAAATAATTACAGAGTGCCTAAAAAACAGGAACTCAAGGCAGGAGAGAAGACAGAAGATACTATGCTGGGTATGTAGCTCAGTGGTAGAGTCCTTGCCTAGCACACACAAGGCCTTGGGTTCAATTTCAGCAACAAAAACAAGGAAGGAAGGAAGGAGGAAAGGAAGGAGGGAAGGAAGGGAGGGAGGGAGAGAGGGTCTCTTGTTTGAACCAAAACATCAGCCATCAAGCAATGCTGTTTGTTCATGAGCAGCAGCATTCTGCTTTATCAAGAAATATAAAACATACACTGGACTCAAGGCTTAATGCAAAAAAGCCTAGAAAATATTTCATATTTATATTGAATTTAAGTGTACTGGCTAAAATAAGATATATTATTAAAATTACCTTCATCATTCTACTTTCTTTAATGTGGCTACTAGAAAATATATATAACTCAGAGACTAAACTTTGCCAACCACATAATGAGTGTTTGGTGTACATGTAGATGGTCCTTGTCTTAGGAAAATTTTTCAAAAATATTGATCACAAATTTAAAGTAAACTCTTTCATGCTATTGAAAATAGAATATCATTTACATTTTTCCTGAAATTGTGCCTGGCTTGATGACAGCTTGAATTGTGTTCAGGTTCCAAATATATAATTTCTTTTCTTATTCATCTAACAAATTAGAAAATATAAATCACAAGTACAGATAATTAGGAATGTTGGCAAATATCCAGTGTCTTTGTCAGATGGTTCTGGAGAGCCCAACCAAGTGAGCCTATAAATTGTAACCCCACTGACAACCACTTTGGCCCCCAGTGCATCCTGCAGCAGTGCTGAAGGACTGCATTTCATTTTGGAAGATACTTTCTTTTTTTTTTTTATTTTAAAGAATAAAAGAAGGATAACATAATAATAGGGGGGACTTAGCAAATTACAGGCAAAATGGTAGGAAATTATCAATGGTTATCATTTTACATATTATTGTCTACAAAATAGTTTCTCAGGAAAACAAATAGACAAATAATAGTGAGTTAGAGACAAAAGAGGTAGGAGATTATCAAGAGTTGTTGTACTATACTTTGGTATCTTCAAACTGGCTTCTAAAAAAAATAAATAGAGCTATACATGAGTGACCTATTGAAAAATCATTAACTATTCTCAATGGTTGTTGTAGGAAACACATAATAATAAACATACATCCATTTATGAAATAGGATAGGAACATTACAAACTTTACACAGTTATGGATAGATTAGTAGGAAAATATCAATGGCTGCTGTAATATGTGGTGGTATCTTCAAAGTGGTTTCTCAGGAAGACAGAGATATGCAAGAGGGACCTATTAAGTAGTTACAGCCTAAGGGTTGTCAAAAATAGCATATTACCTCCTCACCAGTGACTCCTTTCACTGAGGTATGATGGCTGGAAGGAAGGCCAGGATTGAAAAGAAGGACCGAGAGACTTGCACCTGTGTCTAGCAACAGGCTGTTTTCTTGTTCCTCCATAGTCATGATTACCCAGGGCTCCTCGATGGCGATGACGGTCTGGCCAGAGGGAGAAGGCAGACCATGCCCCAAGCCCTCTCATTCCTGTTGGACTAACTGGTAGCATGGGTCTGAGCTCTGGGGCCTCCACCTCAGAGGGCAGACCGATCTCCAGTGGTCTCCTTTGCATCCAGGGCATGGCCCATGGGGCCTCTTAGGGCAGTTCCTCTTGAGGTGGCCTGGCTTTTAACAGTGGTAGCAGATGAATGCAGTTGTCGAGTTCTTCTTGGAGCCCTGGGAATCAGACCTGGGATCTGTTTCTCTTAGTGGTGCAGCAAAAGCAGCTGCTTTTTCTCAGTCTCTTTGTTTTCTCTCCTTGGCCTCCTCCTCATCATGGCTATAGAGTACTGAGGAGGCAATTCTTACTAACATCTCAAGTGAGCTATCTGGGGTGAAAGCCATTCTTTGTAGCTTTTTCTCTCCAGCTTCCCATTGCTTTGGGACCCCACAACCTGTTAGTGTCCTCTCCCCAACTGTCAGCACAGTGGAAGATACTTTCAAGTGCTTGCCTAATCTGTTCTTTGTTTGTCCCCGAAAAGTATTTCTCAAGGTTATCTAGAGCCTTCAGGTAATGATTTTTAAGCAGGCCACTCTCTTTTGCAGCTTTTGAGCTAACTTTCTCCAAAACCAAAAGCTCAACTCCATCAGAGCTCACAGGACATTGGTCCCACTACTTTTTTTTTCACTCTTCTCCTTCCTGTCCATGATCTTGGATCCCTCTTTACCCAGCGGGAATGCATGCAGCGTAGTCACCCCTCTCCCTTCCCATACTTAGCGATTTCACACCAATGGCAGAATCCACATCTCTGTCTACTTTGTGGCACCCTGTGACCATAACCTTGCCTGGAGAACAACAATCCTACGTTCTGGTTTCACTTTTAAATCACGACCATGAACTTTAATTGGGAACTTAACATTACCTAGCAGTCATGCTGTGTTGTTCATTCTCCCTGGACTTTGGATGATCTCTTTCCTTAACCTTCCAGCACTGTCTTTCTCAGCTTTGGCTGGAAAATTGCAGCAGTGAGGAGCTTCCGCCAGCTCTCACTGCTGCCCTGTGGAGCTGGAGATGAACTGACTGCCTGCGCTCCTGTCTGGATGCAGCCCCTGCTGTCCTGTGTCGGATGTGCCCTTCCACACCTCCTCAGCAGGGGGCCTCCTGTAATTCCGGTCACCGGCTTGACCCTCTCTGTTGGTTATACCCATCAGCATGCAAGCCTGCCCATACTCCTCCCGTTACATTAAAGAAAACAAGCACTTCCAGTTTCACATCCACTTCCTCTCTGTAGCCACCACTCCACGTCTCCTCCCTCTGCAAAGTACTCCTTAGACATCATTCAGTATCCATTCTTGTCAAACCGCGTTTCTCCCTTCTGGGTCTCTGCTGAGTGCGGTTAGTCAGATGTTTGACACAGCCGTTCCACTAGGCTTACCGAAGTCACCAGTGAAATCCCACAGTGTTCAGCCCTCACCTCTGTCCCCTCAGCAGCCTCCAGCATCACACTCATTCCTTGAAGCACTAGCATCAAGGATCTTCCAGGATGACCTCCTTGCGGTTTCCTCTCACTGCCCTGGCCAGGCCCCTCTCTACCGCAGAGCTGCATCCCCAGCCCTTACTTTATTCTGTTTTAGATGCTAACTTTTAAAAATGGGTCCTACCAGGCCACTGGGCCTTGGTTTTACAATGTAGACATGTGGGTGTTATTACAAATAAATGACAGGTAACACTGTTCAAGGCAAAATGAACAAACATGGGGAGTTTTTACTTTGAGAGCTAGTGAGGAGCTCCATTCGTTGTGATTTCGGACCTAATGATAAAGCCTGAGTGTAAACAAAAGAGGAGAGAAAGCATCTTTGTTTTATTTTCAAACTGACTTTTTAGAATACATAATTTATGTAATTATGTCTATTATTGTGTATTTTATCTATATTCTTGTTTCATAAAGCCTTCTGCCAATAGTAATTTTTTTTCAAATGATGAACAGGAATCTGACAAAAGGGTTGATGTAAGGAAGAAGAATGCTGTCGCCACGGTGACAGCTGTCCAGCGTTAACATCTCACATCTTTTCCGTTCCTTGTGTGTTTTAGGGCAGTTCAAGCTGCTGGAACAGGACCGAGATATAAAGGAGCCTGTGCAGTATTTCAACAGCGTGGAGGAGGTGGCCAAGGCATTTCCTGAGCGTGTGTACGTCATGGAGGAAATAACATTCAACGTGAAGGTAGCTCTTGGAGAAACAAATATTTATCCTCGCTAAAATAATTTGTCTCCATGTCCATCCCTGGGCTTTCTGGGAGCCTTCCATCTCCTGGTGGGTTAATGTCGCAGCCGAGACCGTGTATATCGCAGAGCTGACCTAACTCCCGACCACATGCTGTATTCATTAGCATTATCTTCTGTTAGAATTTAAAACTGATGAGGTCAAAAATGAAACTGCTAAGGCAGATGAAAGACTTTTTTTTTTTTTAATTCAGACTTAGTCCCTAATGTGTATCCGTTCTTTAACCAAATGTGCAGAGGCTAAGTGCTCTACTGTTCGGAGCAAAAGAGTGATGATGAAATGAATACTAAACACTGAGTTTAAAAAGAACAGGCGTCTTGAGGCTGCCTGAGATCAGCTCGTGCTCATACCCATAGCATCTCTGGGTACAGAGGGGAAGCTAGTAGATAGAGTCTTGCCTGGAGAACAGCAAGGGGCCTGCTGTGCTTTGTTTGCTTCACATTCTTGTAGGAGCAGTGCAGTCCCTTTCCATAAGTTGAGAGAGCTCCCTTGGCCAGACTTGCGGTTGAAGCGATGACACCAAGTAAGCCCAGTCATTAGCGCCCTTACCTCTGCTGTGTTTTCTTCAGCAGCACTCACAACTGCACTGAGACATTTTAGTAAGTGCTACATTGAAAAGATGCCCTGTTGAACCTCAGTTCCACAGGAAGTCCCGCTAATTCTTGTTCTCAGAACCTTTCAAGGTTTAGGGGGCAATGTTCCTAGTTCCTAGAAATCCACTCTCTGTTGAACAAGAGACTGTGTGGTGTCTTGACCTGAGACTGCATCAGTGTTGTGGGTGAGTCACTCCGCCCACATCTCCAGGAAATGTAGGAAGCCCCCGGCAGCCCTCTTACTGGGGAAATGGTTCTGCCCATTCTGTGCCTAAGCAAAGTCATTCTTTCCCCCAGCTTTAAAATACAGCTGCTGTGGTCTGTAGCTTCTTTAGTTTTATGATTGGTGAAATTTTGTATTTTGTAAAATCTTGTGCTAAGTAAATTTTACTTCTATATAAAGATACTTACATGATTTTAACTCCTTCAGTGATACAGTACAATAAACAGTCAAGACAGCTTGCATTCATTCACATTGAAAGTTTGTAGGACCATGTTCTTCATGTTAGAATTACCGAGATCTGCTGATTCACAGGAAGATAAAAGCTCTTGTCTTTGTGGTTCTGGGGGTCAAACCCAGACATCAAGCATGCTAGGCTTCCCAGCCCTGGGACATTAAATCTGACTCCATTAGTGTCTTAGTATAATTTAAGTCTTTCCTTAAAACTTATACTCAGGGCTATGTCTTAGTTACTATCTCCTTGCTGAGACAAAATACCTGATGCCCAGAGTTAAGGGAGGAAAGGTTTATTTAGCTCACGGTTAGTCCATAATTGGCTGGCTCCAAGGTAGGGTGGAACATGGCAGAGGGACAACAGTCTGTGGTAGCAGAAGACAGCAAAAACAAGAGAGAGAGAGAGACACTCCTCTTTCTGCCCCTTATATTGTATCTAGTCTACTCGGATTAGGGTGGTGCCAGTCCAATCAGTGGACTGATCCACAATCACCCACCCTTAATCTCAGCACCCTTAATCGCAGCATTGCATTTCAAATCAATCATGTGCTCTAGATTCAGCCACTTCTCAGAAAACCCTATGACCACATGCAGCTTTGAGTGGACATCCAGACCCAAACCATAACAAGCTAGGACATGGCTCAGGGTAGAGTGCTCACCTAGCATGTGCAAGGCCCTGGGTTTGATGGGGGGCCTTTATATTAGTAATCTCAACTACTTGAGAGGCTGAAATGGGATGATCAAGTTTGAGGCCAAAAAAATCATATTTAGAATTACTTAAGTGGAAAAAAATTATCTATATAGAAAAATCACTACTTTAAAATACTCTTCTGAAATTTTCATCTGCTAATAAATGATGGGAAATCAAGCATAAGATTTTTATGTTTTTAAAGATTTCCTCTAGTATTAAAATTTTCCATTCTATTTTCATCACGTATTGTTTGTTCACATACGGTATTTTGAAAAGGTGCTTCTAGCAGCTTTCTGTGAAAATTTTGTATTAAATCAGTAATGATTAGAAAGTTAATATGGAAACTCATACTTCTTGGTAGTTTTTTATATACAAAATACCATATTTGAATGAATTCATTAAAATGTTTATAATAGAGATATCATTTAAGACTTTAAAGGCATAGATAAGTGTATCAAATGTGAGCTTATAACATCCACAGAGCTAATTAGATTGCGGTTGAGTTCCATGCTGTGCAACTATAAATTTTTAATATCTCTAGTCTATTACTTACAAAATTTTAAGAGCGATCACATCGAGCTTGCATAAATCATTAAGACATTATTCAATTCCATTCAAAGAGTGATTGTTATAGAAGCCTCAGGAAATGCTTATAGAGAAGTGTACAAAAGTTTATAAACACGTAAGTGAATAAATGAACTGAGCTGAGCTATAGGAAAGTTGTCCGGATAGTAGATGTTGGAAGTCACAGTCTTCTTTACTTAAAAATATACGAGATTATATTGTAATGGGAGTTAAGGTGTGGTGGGGAGCGAGTAAGGAAATGGTATGTGTGGTTATTACTCCCCCTGGAGGAGTGTAAAAGCACAGTACAACCTATTCATAGATGAAGCTGTTAAACAGAAAGCAAATTTTTCTATTTGAAACTTCTTTAAAAACTTTTACCCTCTCCCCTCCACTTCAGAAACAGCATAAATTAGATCAGTAGAATATGCCACTGAAGAAGCCGCTGTCAGATAAGAATTGATAGCCAACTGGCCTCATAATAGTCAAAAGATTTATTTCAAAAGATTTGAACCACTTATTTATATGTATATATTCATATATATATTTATCCACACTGAAATGAATATAAAAAGAATTTGAAGTAGAGCCAAGTGTATTGAAAGAATGGGAAGTTCAGTTGTGTGTTTTGTCCAAGATTATAGCAAAATTTTAAATAACAGAATGGGCAATATTAGTGTTCTTTACACACTTATTTTTAAATGAAGCGTTAGTTTTCCCTTAAATATAGAAAATTTGCCTTTTGAAAGTATATTGATAGGTTTAAACTCATCCGCACGATTGCCCCATCCTGATTAACCATATGCCATGAGTTCCTATGCACTCGGTGTTTAATTTCTTAACAAACCAGTGTGCTTTGAGCTTCTGCTCTCTGCCCAGCACTGTTCTAGGCCCTGAGAGCACACAGTACATAGCAGAGCCCTCCCTGCATGCAAACCACAAACTAGCAGGGAGGCAGATAGTAGATAAATAAACAAGTGTTAGTGCCACCTCAAAGTAAAGATATCAAGAAGGTAGTTAAACACACAGGTCTGGTACTTGGAGAAAGGTGTGGGCTTGATGTATACATCTGGAGGTCCTCACCTTTGGGAAGACGTGGGTGGAGCCATGGGTCCAACAAAATCAACCAAGGGCTGTGTTTGGCAATCTCTGTCACAGTTTTGATTGTTGAGATTATGAAGTGAAGGATGTTCTTAGCATCTGGAGGCTAGGGGTGCTCACAAGCTTTCCACAATACCAGGAAAGGCCCTCACAATAAAGAATTGTCCACTCCAGAATGTCAGTAATGCCAAGGTTGAAAACCCTAACATAAACAGAGAGGAGGTCTGAGAACTGAACCCGGGGATATCCCAAAACTTAAGGGTCTAAGGAGGGAGATAGAAAAGGTCACAGTGAAGTAGGACAACCAAGAGCACTTGATGGCCCAGAAGCCAGGTTTCAAGGAGGAGTAAGCAACTGTGTCAAAGGCTACCGAGAAATTGATTAAATGAGAACTTAGCCCTACCATTACATTTAGCAAAATGGAAGCCATTGGTAGCCATCACAGGAAGCCTAAAATGAGCTCAGAAACCTAAAAATGAAGTTAACAAAGGCAGTGCCGTAGTATAGTCAATCTAGAGTTCTGTCAGAATGAGATTCAAGCAAGATTTTTCAACACCACCATGGGTTTCTTCCAGCCATCTGTGGCTGCCCAGACGCAGGTTACGGAGGAGACAGAGAGTTTTGGTTAATCAGATTGGAAGTTCTCCCAGGTGACTGTAAGCCGGATGGTCCAAGGTGTTGATGGAGTATGCTCTGCAGTCATGGACAGTGCTGAGCCATAAACCCTCACTGAGTGAGGAGCTGGCAATACAGGATGTGAACCTCAAATAGGAATTGTAAAGGGAGGTGAGATGGTCAAGAAAATAAAGGGTATGTGGGCAGGTGAGCTCTGCAGATAATTTCTCTGCATTTCCTTCCATCTCCACAAAGCTGAAGGGTTCCATGTTTTCAAAGCAGCAGTCACCTGCCGTCTTGGTTACTTTTCTCGTTGTTGAGACAAAATACCGGACACCCGAAGTTAAAAGGGAAAAGGTTTATTTGGCTCACAGTTTGTAGAGGTTTCAGTCCATAATTGGCTGGCTCCAAAGCAGGGTGGCAAGGCAGACAGGCATGCCAGAGGAGGTGGTGGGCAGAAGGTAGCAAAGCAGAAAGGGAGGAAGGGAGAAGATGAGCCTCTTTCTGTCTCTTGTAGTGGATCTAGGCCACAAGAATTAGGGCGGTGCGAAAGCAACCCATGGACTGGCATAGTAATCACCCACCCTTAATCCAAACATTGCACCGTGAATCAGTCACACACTCTAAGTCACCCACCTCCACAAAAGCCTCACATATGACTGCATGAGGCCTTCCGAGGACATCTAGACACAAGCCATAATGCCTACCTCTTACTACCGCACCCCTTTTTCTTTATTCATCTGGTTTTGGTTTCCATGGCAAGAATTTTGCTTTTATTTATTTGCTTTCTTGCATATTTGTTTTAATTGCAATGGACATTTTTTTCTCTTTTTTTTTTGAGACAGGGTCTTGCTATGTAGTTTAGGCTGGCCTTGGACTCACTATGTACCCTAGGCTGACCTTGAACTTGAAGCGATCCTCC